TATCTATCTCGAAAAAATTGAGTTTCGAATAAGATTTTATCAATTTTTGTTCTAGGTGAAAAAATTTCGCACAAAAAATATTTTCTGACATTCCTTCCTGGAACCACTCATGACCGAAATAAATCAATATCTAACAAAACATTTAAAACCGACTTCTATTACGTTTTACCAATTCGCTACCGAATGTAATCAGCGTTGAACACCACTGACAGGTATCTTCATTCCGTCAATCTTAGCACGCACTCGATCACCCCAAGACTAAATATTTGTATTGACAATCAATCACTCGTTCTCACAGAAGCACATTCGGATAATCTCGAGGTGATTAAATCACTGAGAAAGCTGATCAACATGAATATTAATAGATGGATACAAAATATTTATTCAAACTCAACATTACCACAACACCATAAACAATTCAAAAACAAAATATTGCGACTCAGTGCCTCACGAAAGACATCACAAGACTTTAATTAGAACACAGAGGCCCAAGGGTAAGAAACAAGATGAAATTGCCAATCCGAGTGTGAGGTCGTTAAAATACGTCTGACTGTTTGTCGATCCAACTTTATTCTAATTTTGGCGACTTTGTCCTATCTTCATATCTTGACCAATCGGCACTTAAAACTAGGTACGGAAATTTTATTTCCGCTATTTGTAACACTTGATAATTCGTAATGTCTTGGTACGGAAATTCTATTAACAGTAATCGCCCGGATAAAGAAAAGCGGAATGAAACATTTTTTGCATTTTTACAGAAAAACTCGAATGGATTTCGATTCTCATTTATGCATTTTTCCGCATATTTTCTCGATAAAAAATTTCCGATTGACTAGAAAAACCTAGGGAATTCGCTAGTCAATTCTATTGGATTTCTATTGCACTTTCTATTAGTTTCCAGCCGATTCTATTGAAACGTTCAATAGAAAAGATCAAAAGAATTCGATTTTTCTGTACAACTTATGCTATTGAGATATTTTCTATTGAATATTTCAATAGAATCGGGCAAAAACTGTTAGAAAGTTCAATAGAAATCGAAGAGAATTTTCCAACGAATTCTCTAGGTTTTTCTATTAAATTCATTCGTGCGTGCAGGTCTAGTCGATTGTGATCCGTTCCTAAAAATTTTTCCGTATGAACTTCTCCAGGGGAACTAATCCACATCCATTGACTTCGAATAGAAAAAAATTGAGTTTTATTTTCTATGTAGAAATTCTTTAGCATGAATTTTCGAAGTTTTCTCCATTTTTTTATCCCTCATTATCATGAAATCCAACGAAAACAATTTTTTTGTAACACCTGCCTTAAAAGGTCCCTTTCGGGGGGGTTTCGCGTGCGCAAAGTGTTTGTTTGCCACACGACATGCGTAATGCTCAGAGGTACAGTGTTAAAAATTTTCGTTTCAATTTTCTGCGCCAAATTCCGGAAATTTTTATCGTGTTCAAGTTCCACAAAATTTCAAGAAATCTTGTCGTTGAAAAATCAAATATGCCATTGATTTTCTTGTCAAATGATTTGGAAATCAATGAAATACTTGATTTTTCAGTTCAATTATTCTGTGAAAATTAAAGAACAGGAAAATTCAGAAAAAAATTGAAAATTCATTTCATTTTGTTTCTGAATATTCATGTTCCACTGAAAACTCATGAATTTCTGTGAATTCTACTGAAAACTTGAAATTTCATAACCATTTTTTCCTTAAATTTGATTCAATGTCACTCTCATGTGATTTACTGTAACATATTTCATGAAATTCCAAAAAATTTCTAACAGTGTAATGCGTAAAGTAAATTCTCGCTAGCTAAATTTCTTCTTGAAATTTACTTTACACACAACATTGAATTTTATGCACTTCGTACATAAAAGCAAGTACATAGCACAATTGTACAATTTTCCCCAGAAATCAGGGTAAAGAACAGAAAACTCTCAATAAAATTCTAATAAATTTTCAATAAGATTCCAAAAGAATTTTCTATATGTTTTCTATTAACTTCTTCATACATGAATCAGTTATATCAGTTGAAATATTTTTTACAAGTTTCTACTCATGTTTAACTGCCAAATAAATACAATACAATTAAACATTATCATTACAAATCCATTGCAAATTATGATAACAACAATAAAATGGGATAAACAGCAGATGAACTGCCCTTGACACAATTACACAAAAACACGGTGATTTATAATGTATATGAGATTAATCTTGACACTGTCAGCGTGAATATGTGACTTGTGTGCTTTAGGAAATGCCTGGCATGTTTTTGTTCCCTTGAATTAAGAGGATGGATTTGCCACTGATCATATATGAACTGTGTATTGTGTCCGTGATTACATTGGGCCGAAATTTGAAGACACGGACTTGCTCTGATGTATGAAGAATGACAAGGTCATCCGATGCATGCAATTCTAACCCCAGTAATCCGTAGTATAATCATCTGTGAATGTCTTAATTAAGGGGATATGTCGATGAAATTTAAAAGTCTTCACTGGGCCTTGGGATCCATTGAACAGTTTGTGATATATGACAGAATATCAGAATAACTAGGGAAAATCGCGGATCCGATCGATTTTGACTCGTATAACCACAAAAAACTTCATTTCTTCCTGTTCTTTTTTTTACGGCCTTGGAGTCCCTTTTTGGGTCC